CTCTCTTGTGTGTGTGTGTGTGTGTTTCTCAAACAGAAGAAAGGGGGGGCACACAGATACACACATTCCATGTGCCCACCCACCCCTCTGAGCTGCAGAAGACAAAGTGAAGACTGCCTGCAACCTCTCTCTCTCTCTCTCTCACACACAGCCAGACACAACTGCGAACCCACACTAACAACTGCTGTTAGCAAACATTTATTCTCCACCACCACCACATGCACGCATCTTGCCCATGGTCTCTCCCAGGGTGGCACCCCCACTTCTCTCTGCCAGGACAAGCCCCCCCCCCTCTTTCAGAACCATCCTTCTGCCTGCTGCGCCCCCACCCCTCGGCAAAAGTGGAGACTGGCCCTTTGGGGAAGGAAGCGGGGAGGGGGGCGCGCGCTTAGGAGGCAGGGAGGGGCTCTATGGCCATGGGTCAGGGTTACTAGTAAGGGGGTGGTGGGCATTTTCGCTGCCCCAGAGGACCATGGGAGAGGGGGTCTGTGCTCCTCCCCCTCCCCGTTGGGTATTGCACTCCAATTCTCCCCCCCACCCCCAAATAGATTTGGGTCCAACAGAGAACAGGGTCAATANCCTCTGCCCTCGGTTGAGAAAGTGGGTGGAGAGAGGAGGAAGGGGAAGGCTGGGCCCAGGTGAGAAGAGGCAGCCAGGTGAGGGGGGAGTGGGTGGGAGCTTAAATACACCTTGGGTGGATGAAGAGAGGAAAACCGCGAAGGAAAACTGCAGATCTCTCAGGCAGATCAGGTAAGTGGCTAAAAGAGAGTCAGGGTCTCGTTGGCTGGAGATCTAATGCAGATCCACATTGGGATCTCGGCTGGGGAAGGGGATTTGGAGTGAAGACGAAGGCACCCGAGAAGAACTGTGCAGAAAAAATAATTCTGCATTTTTCTCTTTGCGGATCTCATTCAGGAAACTGGTTTTTAAAAAGTTTAAAAAGTGGGGTACTTGGGAAGAGGGAATTTAAGTGTGTCTGTGTAAATGTTTTTTTATTGCACCAGTCTTTGCTTTAGGCTCTTGGGAAGCTCAGTCAGAACACTATTAATCCCTCTGATTTCAAACTGGGAGTCCCTGAATCTTGGCTGGCAGGCAGGTGTGAAGTTGCCCCTCCCTGGGTTGAGAATTGAGTGGAGAGAGGAGGAAGGGGAAGTCTGGGCCTAGTATGCGCTTGTGCGGAGTGGCCTGACGAAGGGAACAGCTAAAGAGCAAGGGCCCACAGCTGGATGATGAATGGCCCCTCCCAGAGGAAATAAAAGAGGAGTGAAAGGGGCGTGGAGCAACCTGGAATTAAGGAGAAACTTCCTAACAGTGAGAACAATTAACCAGTGGAACAGCTTGCCACCAGAAGATGTGGGTGCTCCAACAATGGAGATTTTTTAAGAAGAGACTAGACTTATCTGCAATGGTGTAGATTCTCCTGCTTGAACAGGGGGCTGGACTAGAAGACCTCCAAGGTCCCTTCCAACTCTGTTATTCTGTAAGGATCTCTTGATTGAGCAAAGGGGGCTGGACTAGATGACCTCTGAGGTCCCCTCTAACTCTGTTATTCTGTAAGGATCTCCTGCTTGAGCAAAGGGGTTGGACTAGAAGACCTCCAAGGTCCCATCCAGCTCTATTCTGATTCTAATCGAAACCTTCCTACATTTTCTTTTGAAACGTTTGAAAGACACTTCTCTGCTGATTGGAGCGATGCCCCCGCCCCACTCCGGACCCAGAGCAGCCCCCCCCCCCACCAACACCGCTTGGGACATGAAACTTTCTCTTTATTGACTACAGAGTCGTCCAGCAAAAGGAACAAGGGGGAAGCGGGAAGGTTTCGTGATCTGGAAACTGTTCATAAATAGACTCGCCCTCACCCCCCGCCCACCCCCCACAAAATATCTCTCTAGCAGCCCCCTCCCAGGTCTACCCTGCCAGCCCTCACTTCGACCACCCCACTGGCCCTCCCCTCCAGCGCTTTTGGGGGAGGGGTTCTTCTCCTGTGAAAACTACACCGGTGGGGTATTCCTAAATCCGATTATATAGGAGTGTTTCTCAACCTTGGCCAACTTGAAGTCCACCAGACTTCAAGCTGGCCAAGGTTGAGAAACACTCCTATATAATCGGATTTAGGAATACCCCACCGGTGTAGTTTTCACAGGAGAAGAACCCCTCC